ATGCTGCCGTCTGGTTTTGGGTGTGTTCACCTACTAAACCGCCACAACCAGCCCCCTTCCAGTATGTGTGGGTTTACAGACACAGACGACTAGGAAATCGAACTTTTCTTCCCAGGCGTGTTGTGGTTTTCGTCTGAGTCTCGTTGCTCTCGGAGGAAGGAGGTTCTATATTCTCGTCGATGGTGTTGTTGTCGTCGGTAAATGCTACTTTCAACCTGTCAATCGATATTTTTTTGGCTTTGTCTCGGATGTCCAGCGTATAATACTTCGGGTGACGTTCTATGACTGCGAATGGTCCGTCGTACGGCTGTTGTAGTGGTGGCCCGACTGCGTCGTTTCTTACAAACACCTGCGTGCATCGATGGAGTTCTTTTTGTATGAAAGGTTGTGCTTTTGCGTGATGCGCTGTCTGCGTCGGCCGGATCAAATTCATTGCACGTCTGAAGTCTTCAATGAATTCCACTTCGTTGGGATGTGGCTTCGATTCGGTGAAAAATTCTGCTGGTAGTCGTAAGCTCTTCCCGTAAACTAGTTCCGCCGGTGTTGCCTGTATATCTTCTTTGAACGTTGCGCGTAGTCCGAGCATGATTAGAGGTAACTCGAATGCTCAGTTTTGTCGATCTTTGCATTTTACTGCCGCTTTCAGTGTACGGTGGAACCGCTCGACTAAGCCGTTGGATTGGGCGTGATATGCCGTTGTTCGAAGGTGGCGTATGCCTAGTCTCTCATTAAGCTGTTTAAAGATCTGGCATTCGAACTGCCGGCCTTGGTCTGTCGTGATTTTAGAGGGTATACCAAACCGCGCGATCCATGTTTCGATGAGTATGGTGGCGATAGTTCCGGCCGTTATGTCCTTGATCGGCGCCGCTCCTGGCCACCGGGTGAATCTATCGACCATTGTGAGTAGATATCGGTAACCGTTTGAAGGCGGTAACGGACCAACAATGTCAATGTTGATATGGTCGAAACGTGACTCAGTGGTATCGTATCGTTCGGGCGCAGTTCTATTGTGTCGCTGGATTTTTGATTTTTGACAGGGTATGCACTGTTTTGCCCAGGTTACGATGTCCTGGTGGATATTAGGCCACACGAACCTCTCTTTAATGAGACGGGTAGTGGCTCGAATACCGGGATGCGAGATGTTGTGTACAGCGTTAAAAACTGTTTTACGACATGACTTTGGAATAAAAGGTTTGCACTTGCTGTTTGTAGCCTGGCAATAAACCTTTTGTGTTGAATTGACCACTGGCATTTTAGTCAACGAAATACTGAACCGCCCATCTCCCTGAAGGATGGATTTGAGCTCGCTGTCTGTTTCCTGTTCTGCAGCAATGATGTCGTAGTCGATAGATTCGCGCTGCACTGCATTGACGCGTGAAAGAAAATCAGGGACTACGTTTTCTTTACCCTTAACGTAACGTATGTCGGTCGTAAACTGGCTGATGTAATGTAAGTAACGGAGGTGTCGTGGGTCAGCCTTTTCGGGTTTCTGCTTGAAAGCGAACGTGATTGGCTTGTGGTCAGTGTAAATCGCGCAGCATCTACCTTCGAGTTGGTCGACGAAGTATTTAACACTTTTGTTTTGACTTAAAGTCATTGAATGCCTTTCGGGATTCTTCGGTCCACTGAATTTTGCGTTTGTCGTTTTTGACATTGCCTGGTATTAGCGCTTGAAGAATATTCTGGGTGTGTGCGGCTCCCGGAATAAACCTTCGATAAAAATTTATGATTGCGATGAAACGTCGTAAGTCCTTTGCGATGGTGGGTTCCTTGTAGGCATTTATCGCTTCCACTTTTTCTGGAAGGGGCAAAATTCCATTAGGCGTGACTAAGTGACCGAGGTACCTTACATTTTGTTGACCGAAAACACACTTGTTGGCATTAATTGTTAAGCCGTTTTGCTTTAGACGTTCGAGTACAATTCGAAGATGATGATTGTGTTCGGTTTCGGTGCGGGACGCGACGCAGATGTCATCTAGGTATGGGACGACAAAGTCTAGTCCTCGGAACACGCTGTCGATGTGTCGTTGGAAGGTTTGGCCCGCGTTGCATAACCCAAATGTCATGAATCGAAATTCGAATAGGCCGAACGGCGTCGTTATGGCCGTCTTTTCGATGTCATCGGGGTGCATTGGTACTTGGTGATACGCTCTTTCCAGGTCGATGGTCGAAAATATATTTTTGTTCGCAAATACTTGATGAAATGTCTGGATATTTGGGATGGGGTACCTGTCCTTCTCAGTGATAGCGTTAAGCGCCCTGTAATCCCCGCACGGTCTCCAGGTGTTGTCCTTTTTTGGGGCCATGTGGAGTGGCGAGGCCCATTGACTTTTGGACGGCTGGCAAATACCTCTTGCGATCAGGTATTCGAACTCTGCTTTGGCGATCTTTAGCTTTTCCGGCGTGAGGCGACGTGGCTTGGCGTGCACTGGCGGGCCCTTTGTGATGATGTGGTGGAACGTTGTTGTGCTCGGTATAGGTTTATTTCGTGAGGGCGAGAAAAGCACTTTAAACTCTGAGAGTAACTTTGCGTATTTGTTTGTATCGGTAACAAGTTTAATGCCAGTGGTAGTTGTTGCTCGCGTTATACCGTATGTATACAACTTCGTTGTTTTATCGATTAACGACTTGTTTTTTAAGTCTACTAGCAGCTCGTAGTGGGTTAAAAAATCCGCCCCGATAATCGGCGTTTTCACGTCAGCCACGCAAAATGTCCATTCAAACGGGCGGCGGAGACCAAAATTAATTTTCACTCTTTTCTGCCCAAATGTTCGTATTGGGGTTCCGTTCGCTGCGTAGATTGACTGGGTTACCGGCGATTGACATTTTCTGTTGTTTGCGGTTGCTGGAATCACCGAGATGTCCGCTCCGGTGTCGACGAGGAAGTGTTGGTTATCGTAACGATTTTTGATAAAGAGGCGGAGGCTGTTGTTACCATGGCCGAGCTGGCAAGCGCCTCCCGTGGCTTGGGCTCGGAGTTCTAGTTTTTTGGATTCTGTTGTGTACCACTAGCGTTGCGGTCGAACTTGCATGGTGGCCTGCACTTGCGAGCATTCGTCCCATATTTGTAATGATACCAGCAGGTGTCGTGCTGTTCTCGACTTCGTGAACTCGATCGTGTCGGCGTTGATCTACGTTGGCTACCACGGTATGGCCGTTTGATGTTCCGCAGGTCGCGTGAGATTGCCTCAATCTGGCGTTGCATTTCCTCGATTTGGCTTGCAGGTTCATTACTGGCGTTTTGGCGTACACTTGTTGTCTGCAGAGGGCTTTGCTGAACGGCGTGTATAAAAGCGCCGCTACTTCTAGTAGCCTCCATGATACGGTCGGCCATCGTTGCTGCGTTTACCAAAGTTATGTGCTCGTCTGCGGATAGTATTGCGCGTATCTGTTCTGGGAGATTTCGGAGCCATAACTGCTTTAGGAGCTCGTCTGTTACTGGGGTAGCTGCCGCCCTGGTCCGCATTTCGGCTAACAACTGCGACGGCTTGCGGTCGCCGAGTGATAGGTCGCTGAGCAGCTTTGTCAATTTTGTTTGTGTGCTGTCGGCGAATTCATTGATAATTCGGGCCTTAAGATTGTCGTACATTTCGTTTCGTGCCGGTGGATTTGTGCGGAAGTCGGCTAGCTTGTACATAACGCGCGTGGGCAGTTGTCCGATTATGGTGTAATACCGTTTTTTATCGGATACGATGCCTGCCGCTTCGAAGGCCGCCTCGACTTGCCAGAACCATAGGTCCGTATGCTCCTCGACCAAATCTGGGAGCTTAACCTTCCCTGGGTCGAGCGTGTCCACCCGCATTTGTGCCGGGTTAGCTGTAGGGTCAGACATTTCATTGCCAGATGAAAAAAGTCGTGGGGTCGTCTTTGTTCATATTTTTATTTCCGCGTAAATCGTATCACGTCGGGGTCACCAGTATGGCATTTATTGTGCGATGCCTAATAATAACTTTTATTTTATCGG